CTGAACTTTCAATATGATGGATGTTCCCATATAAAGTGACTTGGATGGGTCCGGTATATATACTGCGCTATATTAGCAGAGGTATATGTTTGGCAGTGTCGGATAGGTTACATAATGTGAGGTATTAATTGCATGCATGTTGCATTTTCATTGCTGCCTCAATGAAATTTTCTGTCCATCCTGTCTTCCCCTTCCTCTCCCTCTCTCTCTCTTTCCCTTCGTCTTTCTCTCTTTCCCTTCGTCTTTCTCTCTCTCTCCCTCTCTCTTTCCCTTCGTCTTTTTCTCTCTCTCTCTCTCTCTCTCCTTCACAAATTACCTATTTCCGCAAATGTGAAAATACTGACTTCATGGGAGAAACCTGTGCCTTTGAATATTTTTTTAACATGAATTTGGTGCAATGTAGATTACTAGTCATCATCATTATCTGATCCTATCATATATTTTATTTTTCTCTCTCTTTTGCTTTGATCATTTGGCTTTTCTAGTGCTCTTGCTATCTCACTCCATCTTTATATATCTTATTACTATTTCTCTCTCCTTTTGTCATGATTTCCTTTTTCCTTTCTTGTTACACCTGATTTTCTTCTTATTGTATTAAGATTCTTTTTCTGATTATCTAGCTTTTTATTTCCTCTGTTCCTTCTCGACCACTTTTGTTTTCAGATTTAGTTTACCAAATATAGAAAGACCACCTGTCTATTAAGACGACAATTTGTTGTTTCCCTTGAACATGGTTTCTCATGAAAACCTGTCACGAAGGCACCTGTACATATACATAAAGACTACCTGCCTATAAAGACCAATGTTCATGCTTCCCCTGAGTGGTCTTTATATACAGGTTTCACTGTAAAAATATTCAATTGTGATACACCTGTGATATAATAAATCATCATATCAGTGAAAAAAATACACAGAGGGCTCGGGGCGAAGTAGCCCCCCAAAGTGCCAAAAAGAGCCCAAAAAAAATTGCATAGAGTTCAATGCAAAACAAATTAAAGAGTGTTATTTTCATGCAAGCAAGCTTGAAAAGTAGCCCCCGAAATGTTTAAAGTATTTTTTTCCATGAATCATAATACTGTACCTACCTTGGATTCCTACCTTTGAAGTCAACTTAAAACCTTATTTTCTTGTCTGCAACTATGTAGATGTATTGTGTTCTGTTCAAAAGGCTCTGCACGTGCAGCTGTTTTAGAACATGGACAGTTGAAGAATTCATTGAGGTCAAATTTCTTCTTTCTTGGATGGTCAAATTTCTTGAGATTTGTCTTGCAATATTCAATGATAGGCTTTCTACTACATGAGATGGTACTATAGTACATTACTCTATTCCACTCATATATTTCAAAACCGGGGTATGCATGCTGTACATAGAAGAATAATTACTATAATCACTCATTTTTTCTCTATTCCTTCCTTTTTTACCTTCTCCTTTACAGAATAGATCATCCGAACATCGTGGCTCTACTGGACATATTTGAAGACAAGATGCATGTATATTTAGTTATTGAATTGTAAGTATTCCTTTCTTTTTATCTACTTACCGGTAAATGAAGAATTACAAAGATAATTCATAGTTTTATTGAATCTGTACATATTTAAAGAGGAGTGTAGACTTTTTTGTTGCAGTGTGATCAGTCATTTGGTGAATGGCATTTAATTGTGTATTTCTTCATGATTCATAACCTGTAGAAACTATGTTTGAAATGGTTGAGGAAAGAAATGCATTTTTACAGAGTACCTGAAAGAATTAAGAACAGTTAAAGGTGCATGGTAATGAAATTAATTCATAATTTAGATCTTTACAAATATCATGAAGGAGGTAAATGATAATGTTATAAGTTATAAGTTTGGTGGAAGTTTCAGGGAGTGTTGGATAAAAGCTTGAACCCCCCCCCCCCAAAAAAAAAAAAAACGAAAAAAAAACAACGAATGTCTATCTTATATTGATTGGATTTATACAGAAATTACAAAGTTCAACATAAAAAGCCCAATTTTGTAACAAAATTTAATCTTAACATATTATGTTGTCTTCAAAGCATCTAAGGTAGATATAAAGTCAGTAGCCTTTCAAATTTAAGGACGTGTCTTCCCAGAAACCCTAATGACTCGTTTTTTTTTAACTAATATGTGATTTACACGTACATGTATGAATCTATTCAGCATTCACCCTCTGAAATATGTGCACTGATCATTGCTATGTCAGGCAACTCTAGGACAATCTTTGTCTTGTAGAGCAATGCTTGACTAGTACACTAGTAAACTTTTTGATAAATCCACTTTTTTATGATTAAAACTCATCAAAAGCCTGAAGGGGAATAACTTTGTGCAAATGGAGACAACTTAATGCCCTTCTGGCTCTCAGCAGACTTAAAATCTAAATTAAACCTTAGGAACTCTTTTCTATTTAATGAAAATCTCAACCATACAAAAACCTTCAATTAAGAAGTCACATTTGCGTACGTTTGTTACCTCTAAAAAACAAGGACTTCCAGTGTATATAATGGGAGTGGAGAGTCGGCAAGTCACGATGTTGTGTGCATTGATGTGCGAGAGCTCACAGACATCCAATTCCAGGGCACCCACTGAAGCAGAAGTAGCTTCATTCCTGTGAATTCACTTGTAAGGGCCTCTCCTCCAAAGGAATACATCTAATCGATCTGTATCAATCGTTCCTCCATTTTTATTTATAGACAATTTTCTTGTTGCGACGCATTCTACCGTAATCATTTTAATTGAAGTTTCTATATATAGTAGGCTATTTCTCTTTAATTATTGTAAAAGACTTATATACACAATTTGACCACAAGAGAGGACTGTTAAAAACAATTGCATTCTACTTTTGGAAAGAATGCAATGTGTTCTAATTAATCATTGATTCCTTATAGATTGTTTAAGTTAAACAAATTGGTCATGAAGACGTGTCAACAATCGTATACCCAATTGAAGGGATGTTTACCCCCATTTGATTTGTATTGTACCCATTTTGTCTATATTTGAGAACCTTAGGAAAGATATCTTTTAATCAGAGCCAGGAGCGCCTTAATTCTGGGTTAAAGTTTATGAGTCAATGCCCTTCTAGCTCCAAACAGGTGGTATTATCATAAGTAATTTACAAGAAATGTACACAAATGTACAAATATCAAATTAATGATTGTGTTTTTAATCGAGGGTACGTTTTATTTTTTTTTAAGTTTTAGTTGTACAATTTTGAAAGAAGGTGTGCATGTGTTTGCTGCAGTCTGGAATCTTTGTTGAGCATTACAAGAAGATGGGAGATCTATATGAGGTAGATCCTAGAAAAAACTCCAAGAAGATTTGTAATCTTTTACAGTGTACTTTAAACGAAAAATGGATATCATGTATCATATATGTGATGTAAGCAGTTTGTTATGTATTGGATGATGTGAGAAGTTTCTATAGTAGTCAGCCTGATATAGCTTGATTAGGTATCTAACACACCTGTTTGATCTATCAGATTTGTCTATGTCTCTCGTAGATATAGATATAGACCTGTCTGATTACGCAAGTGTAGTGTTAAAGTGCATTACTCACCTTTTGTAATAATTTTGTTTATATCTACAATGTATAAAACAAGATTTGAAAAAACATTACCCAACGTTCCATAGGTTAACATTTAAGGATTATGAAGAAAGTAAAAAGAAATGACACAAAAACCCATGCACTAAACGCAAGTCCGACTTGAGGTCCATACATGCAATATTCTATGCGTCTAGTCTACTCAATAAGTCGCCTCTATAAGTCGCTTTCATTTTTACTGAGATACAAACTGAAATATCTCTTTGTAGCAGTTTTTGTGGTATATTTTGAATACAGTTTAGTGACATGGGGCTCTTTACAAACATCCGGAGCAAAACATGTTTTTGTGATTGGTACACTTTAAATGTACATGTACTCTGCTAGCCCATTCACCTTTTGGTCGCCGTCTGACATCAGTGTTATCAACTATTGCAATTTCATATCTCATAAGGCTATACACTTGTGCTCTTTTGGGAATTGCTTGAAAATTGAAAATTATCTTCAAAACAATTTGTAGTTGTCATTCCCCCCCCCCTTTTTTTTTGAGATTACACATATAGTCTGCATTTTTGCTCTGTCAAAAATGAAATAGTTTATTAGTGTTCTACACAACTTTAGTACGAATCATTTAATTCCTATCTCCACCTTTTTTACGGGGGGGGGGGGGGGGGGGGGGAATGGTTGAATCAAGTGATTCTATGTAGTGAACGCAAGCATTGTAACCCCCTGTAAATGCCAGGGTAGTTTGCTAAATTGGCTCTTCAAAAGAACCTTTGCACCAGAGGCAACATGTGACATATAAACAGGTAGTGCAGGATGCTACTCCACATTTGTTGTGATACCTGGGAGCGTCATACATGCATATACGTCATCTGAATTTCCTGTTAGTAAAAAGGTTCATCTATTTTGACTACCAGTTTAAATGTTAATTACCTGTATAACTTCATGGTCTGTCACATGATGAATCGATACATCCCTGGACGCAACCCTGGTATCATATTACCACACTGACATTTATTCCATGTCCAGGGCGGGCGACATGACGCAAGCCAAATATGAACGTCATTCTCGCCCTCTCATGCGCACATAAGTTTCATTGGCGCGGCCCCCGAAGGCCCCATATTATTTTTTCAATGTCAGGGTTATTGTTTTGTTTTCTATTGCTAAATCAGGAATACAGTTGTATGTTCCTATCAACAGTTGCATATGAAACGATAACACAGAGCCACGCAACTCATCAGTCACTGACGCTGCCGTAGGACATCATGGCCATGGATGTGCTACTCTGGAGTGACGATCCACTTTTGGGGGGAGTCGTATTAGAAATCACTTTGTAGGGAGTGGATATCCACACTAACTACCGGTAGTGAAAACCACTCTCAAAAGACTGATTCACTTCACTACTTCAATAATACAATTAAATGATTCAATAGACAATCCATTACCCATTACAATCCATAGACATTGGGGAAAGTCAATTCATTACATTATCATTTTATTACTCATATATTTTTACTAATTCAATTGAGTAGCAACATCAAGTTTCCTCATCTTCCCCTGCCGAAAGTCATTTAAAAAATAATAAATTCTACTTTTGTTTGAAGGCTTTTCCTTTGTCACGTTGTATTCCCCCACATCACGATCTGCTATGATTAGGGAGCTATTTACTAACCTAAACTAAAGCTCTGACCCACCAGCATTATATGAAGAAAAGATGACAAGACGATGATTGCCCATTCTCGTTCGCCCACTCTCAAGTTCCCTCGTGTCGTGTAAAATAAAACACTCTCTACACCAATGAGTAAACCAAACCCTTTTTTCTCTTTTGAATGCCATAGTAGGTCAATATTGTCAATTCCACCATCTTGCTTTTTTTTCTTCTTTCGCACCTTGGTCTTCAAATATTCAAATCAAGGGTAAAATATTCATATTATCCACCCACTCAGCATCTGGTATTAGTCAACAGATGATTATCTGTAACTTCTCTGCTGTATTATCCCTACAATTTGACCGTTGTAGTAATGATCATCCTAAAGTCTGCACTCAAAATAAAATGAAAAAAAAAAATCTCTATTGTTCATTAAAAATCCATATAGAGTGTGCACTCGACCTGCAGAATTGTAATAGAATCCAGTTACCATGGTGACGATACTGTAAGCACTTAGGTCAGTTACGTTGAAATTGGTAAGCGCTTTATAAGAAACAGTTATTGTTATTATTACTATTATGATTATTATAGAGTGGCGAAGTGTGACGTCATCAAAAATCTATTTTTTAGAATTTTTCAATTTGTCCAAATGTCGAAAACCAATTGAATATGTTAAGTATTTGCTGAGATATGACCATCTGAATGAATATATGTCCTATGGTTACTCAGTGTTATATGCTCTGGCTCCTAATGGTTAGGAGCCAGAGCATACAACACTGAGTTCCTATGGGGAATTTTTTCATTCAGATGGTCATATCTCAGCAAATACTTAACATATTCAATTGGTTTTCGACATTTGGACATTATTTTTTATGCTCTTTCAGAAAATGAAGAAAAAATTGAGAAATTATAAAAGTAGATTTTTATGACGTCACAGCTTCGGTACTGTATTGTTAGTGTTGTTGTTGTCATTGTCATTCTTGTTGTTACTATTATTATAATCATTATTATCATAATAAATATTAATATTATTATCATTGTCAATGAACATTCCTCTCTTTCAAGCATATGGTCATCAGCAGCGCAACAGTATAAAATAGTGACTCAATTTGAAAGTGAAAAAAATTCATGGGAGCCAGTGTCGAGGGAGAAACAGTTACAACCTGTCATAAATATAATCTTTCTCTCCGGCACCTGAATTGATATTTGACATCCTCGGGTCCCACTTGGTCTGAACGTCTGTCTGTAGATAGTCATCTTTGCACAATTTCCAATGAGATGGGTGGCCCCTCAGGCGGGTGGATTGGAGAATGCACGTGTAGGAGGAGTGAAAAAAGAGTGCGTTGGTTGGAGTGGATGGACAAGGTGATGACAGCATGGAAGATAAAGGGGTTGAAAGAGATGAGAAATATTTGCAATCAACAGTGGTTCGAGATGGAATGTTGTGACCTTGTACTTGTATTATTTTGCTCACAATTTACGATTGGGATTTGGGATTGATCATTTTTAAGATTGAGGTTTAGGGGCTTTTGGATGAGAAGGAATAGACTGGTTTATTTTTGTAAATTGTATTTCATAAACTGAGTATACTGATTGTACTTGATGACCATTAAGGTTGCTTGTTGAAATGGGGATTACCCAACATAGCAACAACCAATGTATGCAAGTTTGGACTTGAGACATAACCAAGGGGTATAGCATTATAATGCAGGGGCAATAATTTACTTTGGCGAGCATGTGAATATGATCATTTCAACTCATGCATTTTAACACTTTATGACAATATATTGATTTCAAGATCATTGTTCAAATGTAGAGCTTCTCAAATCACCTATTGTACTTTGGAGATACATTTGAGTACCTTTTAACCCGCTGACTACTGAATTTTCTCATTTCCTTTGGCTCAATACCAATTTATAGTTGTTTTTTTATGCCTCCGTTACGAAGTAGCCGGAGGCATTATGTTTTCGGGTTGTCCGTCCGTCCGTCCGTCCGTCCGTCCGTCCGTCCGTCCGTACGTCTGTACGTACGTCTGTACGTACGTCCCGTTCTTGTGATCGCGTTATCTAAAGAACCGATTGATGGATTCCTGCCAAACTTTGGTAATGTATGTATCTTGCAGAGCCGATGAACTGATTAGATTTTGGGGTCACGAGGTCAAAGGTCAAAGGTCACAGGGCTCATTAGGTATGCAAAAACAGCTCGTGATCGCGTTATCTGAAGAACCGATTGATGGATTCCTGCCAAACTTTGGTCATGTATGTCTCTTGCAAAGCCAATGAACTGATTAGATTTTGGGGTCACGAGGTTAAAGGTCAAAGGTCACAGGGCTCATTATGTATGCGAAAACAGCTCGTGATCGCGTTATCTCAAGAATCGATTGATGGATTGCTGCCAAACTTAGGTCATGTATGTTACTTGCAGAGCCGATGAACTGATTAGATTTAGGGGTCATGAGGTCAAAGGTCAAAGGCCAAAGCGCACATTATGTATGCAAAAACAGCTCGTGACCGCGTTATCTCAAGAAGCGATTGATGGATTCCTGCCAAAATTAGGTCATGTATGTTACTTGCAGAGCCAATGAACTGAGTAGATTCTTGGTTCATAAGGTCAAAGGTCAAAGGTCATGGGCTCATTATGTATGCAAAAATAGCTTGTGAACGCATTCTCATTAGAACTGACAGATGGATTACTATTTAACTCAGGACATCTTGCAGAGCCAATGAACTGAGTAGATTTTAGGGTCATGAGGTCAAAGATCAAAGGGTCATATATGTATATGAGAAATTGCTTGTAATCACGATTTTCTGAGAACCTGTCAATGGATTACAATTGAACTTGAATTCGAAAAATTTCTTCTGTTTTGGTTTGTAAAATTGCTCTATGACGGAGGCATCATTTTCGACTGCGCGCAGTCGAATTCCATCTAGTTTTTAGTTAATTTATGTATATAGCTCATTTTCAGTGTATACTATACATTAACCAATTGACTGCCGAAAGATCATATTTCCTTTTCTGTTTAATACAGGAAGCAGTTCCAGTAGGGAGTGGGTTAACAAAGTAGATGAGGTGGCTAAGAGTGCGTTAACCTTTCCATGTACATGAAGGAGGAGGAGAGTGGGGGGAGGGTTGATAAAATGATACAGTTAGTGACAGCAGAGGGATTGGAAGGCATTCATGAGCAGGTCTCGTGGCTTGAGCGTGCATGGATCAACTAATGATGTACGACCTCAAAGATCGATGGCCGATCGTGTTCGTTGATTATCCCTTGTGTTCTGAGGTCATTCACTTCAGGCTGTCTTGCCAGCTATGTGGGAAGAAACGTTGAAGTAGGACGGATAGGAGGGGTAGGAGGTACACCCAGGGTTTAGCAGCCTTTTCACACACAAGTAAAATTCTTTAAAGCTGATCACTTTAAAGCGCTTTAAACTAATCAGCTTTACATACGACATTATTTACACACAGAAATTTCGTTGCGATCGTTAATCGTTTCGTGATTAACTACTGCTCTTAAAATGCGCAGTAGTGCCATTGCGCATTGAAGGTCAGGTCATATCAAACAAAGCGCACGCTCCATCCTGTTTAAACACGTATAACCGTTCACACACAAAATGTCAAGCTCTCTAGATACAAACTCTGTATCTGCAGCCTGTTTTGAGGGGCGTATGAATCGCGACCTCATATCTATCCGAACACCGTATAAACGATGTTCACACAGGGACATTTTTCTTTAAAGCTGTTTAAAACTGTTGAGTTAAACAGCTTTAAACTAATCAGCTCTAGATACGATGAATTTTAGCTGTGTGTGAAAAGGCTGGAAGACTATCCTGTCCTAGTTTGCGGAACAAAGCCTTGACCTTGTCGGATGTAACGCTAAGCACAGGGTCTGAACTGCGAGACTTTAGACTGCACTCTGCACATAGGCCCTGTACATAATTTGCTTGATATAGCCAGCTAGAGACTGACAAATTTACCAAGCTCAAGGCTTTATGGAACTTTTTTAAATCTGTCCCTGCAGACCAGTCCTTTTCCCTGATAACACCTTAATGCTACGGTCACAAAGGTTCGTACAAACGATAATTTTGTACTAATCTCCCTGTTTTTCTATTGTCTTCCCGAATTTCTATTGTCTGAAAATCATTTGTACGGCTTTCGTAGCAGTTTGTAATGGCCTTTTATGACCAAGGCTTATAAGATGCAGATAAATGACATCAAGCTTTTTATAGAGCTGGTCCCATATGATCAATGCTGTAAAACCAGAAACATTCACGACATGGAATTTACACAAACCTCATAAGACATGACAGTTAAAATTCAAATATTTTGCTGCATGAAAAATACAAACAGTGCCAAAATAGGATACCGATAACTCTTTTGCACTGTATGTACATACAATATGGACTGATTGTTCAAACCTTGGCCCTGCCAGTCAAGTGCCTCTTGATCATGTGACCTTGTATGAAAAGCTACACAAATCATATTTCAAACCAGTATCAGGGGGAGAAATGTATACGTGAAAATGATTATGTTTTGCCTTCAATGTCTTTAAAAAAAGGAGAAGCAATAAACAATTTTTTAAGCAACATAGTTATCCTTTGAAGAAACCTTGTGTACATATAGTTGAAGAAAATACAACATCTGGCAATCTGGCTTTTTTAGAACTTAAAAGGAACTGGAAAATATGATTTTCTATTCTTTTTCTCGAAATCACATACATGTAGAATTTCCACTTTTCTTTTTATAATGAAGTGGGTTTCCACTGTATTAGAAAGTATAGTGCAATGTCAAGCCAGCTGTACTCTACGACCGTCTTTGCTTTTACCTAAGAAGTTTATCCCTATGTAAAACAATCATGTTTCCAATGCCTGAGATTACTTATAAATCTAATGCACCAACAACAACAAAACCACATTTTTATTCAACTCATACTCAAGTAGACGGATTATTTAGTAGTTTTTTGATAGGAAGTGAAGTGATGCGTGGTTTCTATGGTAACTGATTTGAGTGAGTTATAAAACGTTGGTTTATGGCCTGAAGTGGAGGGATATTAGTACCAAGTGTGCGGGAGGATATTGTGCACTTTGTTTTGAAATCCTTTCCTTTCCTGAAGAGCATCGTTCAGTCCATGTACTACTCACTCTCAAGTAGAAGACGAAGAGAGGAGAGAGACGTTAGAGAAAAGAAATAATAAGATATCAAGTTGTATTGTAACTGTACATGAACGATGAATGAGAGGGAGAGAATGTATGTGTCAGGGAGAGAGAGTGAGAGAGAGAGAGAGAGAGAGAGAGAGAGAAAGAAATAGAGGAAAAAAGAGAAACATCTTGTTAATTTATGTGTATATTTTCCTCATTCCATTTCATATAGCATCTTTGCTATCAAAATGAACTGATTCATTTGTAAATTGAGCTATATGCTCCTTTTTATATGGATAACATTGTAATTAATATAGGATAATATAACATCAGGAGGGTGGAGATAAACAGAAGAAGGGCGAGGAAGAGATCAGAAAGAGGGAGAGAGAACTAATGCTGTTTATTCTTTTTAATTCATGTATGCATTGAACAATTTTAGATCTGAGCAACCATAGATCAACCTGTTTGAAATTCATGTCTGTAAGAATGAGAGCATTGTGACTATTTTTAAAGCCATTCTTTTCCACATTTTTGTCTTGATTTACAGAATTTTCAACATGTTTGAAATTCATGTTCATCACAATGGGATCATTAGGCGGTGTCACACAGAGGCCAAAAATCCAGATTTTAGTTATCCGGATTTTGGTTATCCTCTTAATTGCTGTCTGTCATCAATTATCCCATTAAAAATCCTCTAACGAAGCAAGAAAATTCTCCCTTGAAAGGATTTTTCAAGGTATTTTTTAAGGGATTTTTCTGTGTGACACCGCCTATTATGACTTAAAGAAAAAATCTTTCCCACATTTTTGTGTCGATCTAGAGTATTGTTTGAAGTTCATGAACATCACAACTAGAGCATTTTGTTTTAATTTTTGTTTTAAAGCAATTTCCCCCCTCTATTTTTATCTTGATCTACAGAGTATCAGGTGGAGAACTCTTTGATAGGATAGTGACCAAAGGTAACTACACAGAAAAAGATGCCAGTGAGATAATGAAACAGATACTTGAAGCTACCACGTACATCCACGGCAAAGGAATCGTACATAGAGACCTCAAGGTAAGCAAACCTGCAAAAGACATGTCATTCTGACAATTAGTGAAAATTTATAGATGGTCTGAAGGTTCCCATGAACTTGTAGCATGGGATATTTACTTTTTTATACTAATTATTTATGTAAACATTTTAGAAAATTACATGTATATGTTCTTTCAAGTTTCAATTAAGTTTCCTTAAAGAATAGTAGTGTTCCTGTAAAAGACCCTTGTGGTACACCCATATGGCTTCCAAATGCCTTCAATGCTTTGGTATAAATGATATTTATATAATCGTTTTAAAAAGTATTAGCAATAGTTCTATTGTATGTGGCTACATCACAAGGATCATTCATAGCATCCCCAGGAGTGCTTACAAATTAAACGTATCAGGGAATTTTTTAAAAATGTTTCCTTCTCATGTTAACAGAGAGCTGCTAAAGATGGTGAATGCATGCGCCTCAATACAGGACCCTGGAATCTTTCAGTAATCAACTTTATTTCCCTATAACTTTGTGGATAGAACTTGCATAATTATAAATGGTTTTTCTTCCAGCAGTCTTTCTTCCTATGATCTTGGTTGTTGGTCACACGCGGCCCTAGAAGATGGCATTGACATTTTGGATTGTTTTTATGAAGGATCCAAGATTTTTGTTGATTAAAGCTCTGAACTGCCTTTGGGAAGAATTTTCTCTTACTTTTTATCAGTGAATCTCCTGGAAAAAGCTATAAAACTTTGAAATAGCCATCTGGAGCATCCACTATATAGAAGTGGATATTTGCGGCCATTCATTTTGCAATTCTGCCCTCGGTGATCATTATGATACATGTAGCTCACTATGAAACAATAGACTCACATGAACAACAATTGCATGCTCATGTGACTTTCAAAGTCTGTCTCTGCGGCGTCTCTGTGGAGTCTTCGAAGAGGACCTTTGCATAGGCAACAGTTCAATGTGTAGCCAACAAGACAGAAGAATGTCAAACATTCCGTCTGCACCAGTTATGAGTTGGTGCCTGTAATCATCTGAAATACAATTAGTAGGACTGAATGCCAAACGCATTACCGCTCTCATGTTTTTAAGTACCAACATGGACCTCGATAATTATTTCATTAGAGGGATAGATATTCTTAGAAAGCACCTTGATGTGAATGGGAAGGGCCTCTGACTCTGTTTACGGTGTAGCATTGAAACAATGCCCTTTCGATGTATGTATGTTATTACTTTTATAATTGGTTCTTTTTTCAAGAGGCTTGACCACAAAAGAAACTGATGTTGTGTTTTCTTTTTCTTGTGAACATCGGGGTAGAGCTATAATAATTAGATTAACAAAATTGAAATCCTAAAATAGAGAAAAATATAAATTCTGTGGAGATTTGAAAGCACTTTTCAATTCAAAATAAGTTGAATTGAACACAATTTCCCCATTAAAATGCATGTTTCAAGTAATAAACTTTCAAGTTCAAAGGACTAGTATTGATAATGTCAGTAGAGAGTAGTTCTTCTTATATTTCATTACCCGAAAATAGCCCTAATTATCCTTTCTTTTTAGAATGGTTCTATGTTCTTTATTTTTTGGTTTCTTATACTGTCTGTTCTATTTATGATTTTGGTGTTATTGTGCCATGACTCAATGAAAATGCAATAGTAGCCTGTGATATGTTAGATGGCTATGAAAAAGGGTCCTGTTCATTTTTGTTTGTCAGATATTTGATCATGAGGATCCTGGGTAAAGAATTCTGGAACTGAAACCAAAGAAAAAAAGAACATAGAACCATTCTAAAAAGAAAGGATAAGTAGCCTACCTAGATGTAGCAGATCTATACACCAGCTTGACAGGGCAGGAATGTGTTCACATATGGCTTGTTTAAATTTAATAACTTTCTCAAACAGTCGGCACACAGAGATAATGTGCAACAAGGGCACCGTTATGGTAATTGCTTCACAATATGAAAGCAACATCTGTCTGTTTCAATCGATAATGTTGCATACTGATTTTGTATCTCTTGTACTCGAGCAATTAATTTCAAAGCCCCGCCATGCTCTGACTCTGCGGGCCCTTGCATCAAAGGCATGACCTTTTCTTTCAGCCTGGGCTAAATTAGCCTAATTAAGCTTGGCCTAGGCTTAATGGGTTCCACCGTTTATGATGTAACCATGTCTGTCTATTCTTCCAGTCTAACTTGTAGTGCTGTTTGGAGAATGTTCTTCCCCAAATTGCTTTTGATTCATCTCGAACAAGTGCACACTGTTCATGCTGTGTTTTGAGGAACGGTCACACAGAAGCAGGCAGATGGGACTATATAGAGGTCACAGTTTTTCCCCATCTGGCTAATGAGTGCTGTTTGCAGTGACAAACTCAATTATACAGAAATTCATTCCATGTGACCTCTAATTTCTATTCCTCCCCCCCCCCCCCTATTCTTTGGCATTATGTAACTTAATATTAAAAGGAGATTGTAAGACAGCAAACCATGTCGAGACACTTCAAAGGTTGGCTTAGTTGCTCCCTCTCTTCTGAGGGGCAATTCTGGGCGGATGGTATGGGAACTGAAGTCGCCCCCCCCCCCCCCCCAGAAAAATAGAGGTTTAGTTATTTCATTTTGATAGTAGAGTAACAGAGACGCCAAGTTCAAAGATCGGCAATGCGTGACATTTTCATGATTGGGCGCGCAAGCGCGCGTGCAAGGGTATAACACACGTATAAGGTATAGTGTTTTTCAAAATCTAGCGCGCGTGTCGTGCGTAAGAGCATTTTCAGACCCTCGAAATGCGTGATGTCACACCTAATGTGTGATACTTGGTAGCTCTGGAGTAAGCCTGTTTTTTCATCATATGGTGAACAAAAGATTCATTCAAGAGGGATTAAATCCAAACTTGTGAAACTTCCAGAATCAACTGACTTAATCAAGGAAGTACTCACTGACCAACTTGATATTTCTTTTGTACATTCCGAAACTTTGAATGGCCAAAGTCAGCTGAAGTAAAGCAACCCTGGTAGAATATGTAAAAGCTTCGTAATATGTGTTGGGGGTGGGGTGAGTAAACCCGTGAACAGCCATTCACTCGATTGCTTCACTCCCTCACAGCAGATCCCTCTAGAGCACACCTCATCCTAATTTTTCTACTCACACATTTCTATTTCATTTTATCTCTATTTCCTTATATATGTATATTAACATCTTTCTTTCTCTCCGCTTAACTCTCTCTCACTCTCTTTCTCTCTTTTCTTTCTTTCTTTCTTTCTTTCTCTCTTTCTTTCTCTCTTTCTCTCTCTATCACTATTTTGTTTTCACTATTTTTATTTTCCATTCTCCATTCCTTCCTTTCATATAGATTTAACATTAGGTATCATAAGACATAGAATTCATATGGATAGAATATATATGTACATATTAACATCTTTCTTTGTCTCCGCCTAACTCTCTCTCTCTCATTCTCTCTCTCTCTTTCTATTTCTTTCTTTCTATCTCTCTTTCTCTAACTCTCTTTCTCTCTCTCTCTTTTTCGCTATTTTGTTTTCACTATCTTTATTTTCCATTGTCCGTCCTTCCTCCCTATGGTTTTAACATTTAGCACTATAGAACATAGAATTCACATGATCGCCAAACCTCTACTGAGGCATCAGACAGTGAAAAAAAGTTTGACAAGGTAATCAAGGGGGGAGGACGAGAGAAAAACAAACTATGGGCGGTTGGATTGTTTTGACAACATCTATATATTGATAGAGCTGTCACTCATTGGCCGTCAGTCAGCAGACGCGGAGATAACAAGTAGCCCATGTCTGCACTCAAAATTTTAAATAGGGTACAGCTATAACACTGTCGCAAAGACTTTAACAAATGAATACATATATAAGGGATTTTTAAGAGCCTTGTGTATCACCTATTAAAATGAGGGAACATTGCAGTGAAGTCTTGCATAATCTGAACGCTATTTCTATGGTACGGTATGTAAAATGGGGATTGAAATTGCTTGTGAGCAAGACATTTAGAAAGTCTCTGTGGTCAAATTAAATAGTTCTTGTCTAGATTAATTTCCAACCAATTTTCTGTAACAGTTCTGCTCTTTGCTATTGCTATCATAGTGACACAGTAGGACTCTCCATTTACACAAGTCTAGTTCAGATGGTCCCCCAAATTTGAACTTAGAACCCCAAAACTTCCAATATTTAAATGGGCCACTACAGACTATAGAATTTTCAATCTTGACCCTTTATGACAAAACACTACTGTGGATCCCTGAATTGAAAGGGCAGAATTAAATTTACAAGATTACAGCAGTATTTGACTAACCAAAATGAACACAAAGATTTGAAAAAGATATCAAACTAATGCAATTACAAGGGAAGGGAGTTGATATTCAGAATTTTTTTTTAATGTGTGATTGTGTTACCCCTCAAATTGGTATGAGACCCTTGTAGTCCTCATCAGGTGATAAATTTAGATTAACTGAGAGGCTAGAACTGAGGGCATTTACTCATCCCATTTTTACACAGATTTAAGGATCTTCTGGCTCTCAGCAACCAATTTATTTTGCCTTGCCTTGAGACATTTGTTTCTGACAAGGTTACTGATTGCCAGATGTCGTGTGCAACAATCACAACTTCAGTGGGTTGCATTTGTTGTGACAGTATGAATGTTGACGAAGCTGCCACACAACACACAAACTAGCCTGGCTACAGGGGAATGATGGCAACATTGGCCTTGTCCACACTTGAAAGACAGTAGCCACATAGGCCCTGTTCACGCTTAGAGATCATAGCTATTTTGTCCTCGTTCACAGAACCTAAGGTAGCCTCTTGTCGATGCCCTCGCGCTGTTGGAGTCTCTAAATTCTGACGAGCGAAGCGAGTCAGAGAAACCGAGGCGCTTGCGCGGAGGGCCTCTTGACAAGTGATCTGAATTTCTTATGTTTTACTTTGTTTGGCGAATATTCCGACCCAGCAGAGTTCGGTGAAAGTCATCCAATCAGAGAGAGCTACTATGACGTAATATCTACCGCTCTGTGCGAATTCCCTCCG